TCATAATTTGCTATTTCAGTTGCCCATCTCATTAACCTTTTATTATGGTTATTCATATTTTTTAAAAATATGAGGGGCTTGTGGTCAGTATATAGATCAATTTTATAACCCAACACGATTGGTTTAAAATGGCACACAGCCAGGATTATTGCTAGACATTCCTTTCCAATTGTGGCATAGTTCTTTTCTGCCCCATTGAACTTACGACTAAAATATCCTACAGGGTAAAATTTTTCTCCCTCCCGCTGCCCTAGGATGGCATCCATACATTCATTGGACGCATTGGTGTACAACTCGAAGGGGGAACTAAAATTTGGATGTTTTAACAGAGGGGGACTTGACAATATGCATTTAAATTCCTCAAAACTTTTCTGGCACTCTTCGTTCCAGGAGAATTTTCTTCCCTTTTTAGTTAAATTAGTCAAGGGTAAGGCAATGCTAGAAAATCTGGATATGAAACTCCTGAAGAAGCCCACCATGCCTAAAAAACTATGCACTCCTTTTACATTATTGGGGGGTTTCATATTCAATATAGCGCTGACATTACTATCGTCGGGACCTATCCCCTTTTGGCTTATAACACATCCCAGGTACTTTACTTCCCCTATAACAAACCAACTTTTGGTAGGGTGTAATTTTAAGTTATTCCTATTCAGAGTTCCTATGACTTCATCAAGTACCGTTACATGGTCATCTAGGGATTTGGAAAACACAACTACATCATCTTGAAATACATAACATATCCCTATAAACCTTGCTAAAAGTTTTGACATAACTGCTTGAAAAAAACGGCCACTATTCTTGGGGCCCTGTGGAAGCCTGCACATCTGAAATTTCCCCCATGGGGTAGAAAATGCATATACGTGTCTGACTGATGGATCTAGATTTATTTGAAAATACCCCGATTTTAAATCCAATACAGAAAAGTACTTGCATCCATGAAATTTGGTTAAAATTTCATCAACATGGGCTATGGGAAATTCTTGGGATTCTGTCAGGTCATTGACCCGCTGGAGATCTAACATCATCCTAATGTCGCCATCCTCTTTTTCAATGATGTGTATAGGCAAGTTCCATGCAGAGGAGCTCTCCTTGATGATTCCTGCTTTTAAATATGCAGTAGTTAGAGACCTTAACCCCTTTAAGTAACATTCAGGGATCCTATACTGACGTGTACTTATTGGCGTAGTTTGATCGATTACAGGTTTATGCGTCTCACCTATCATACCTGTTAACTCTTCTATCGATTCTGCAAAGCATTTGTGATATTTCCTAAATATATCATACACACATTCTTTTTCTTCAGGAGTCAAACCGTCTAGCCCTTTAATTGCCAAGTGTTCAACGTTACTAAAATCATCATACGGTTTGATACTGTGCCTTGCACAGCTATCCTTACATCCTCGATGATCTTGTATACCTTGTGCACGATATCCATTCCCAACACCCCATCATAATCTACATGTCAAGGCAGCTTCATACATGCAACCATCACCTTGTTCGATTGGTTATCATAATCAATTTCTGCACGTATGGTTCTTTCACATTCAGTCACCTTACCAGTTATACCCCTTATTCCAAACATTTCACCCTTGATAGTTGCTCTAACCACACTCCTTTTGGGCATACAAGCAATGACTGCTAAATTCAATATAGACTTTTCAGTGCCAGTGTCGATGAGGAAGCATAATTTTACTTCATTGACTATCCCTTCAACAATAGGGAGCCCCTTCGGTGACAAATACTGTATACCTCATTAGCCAGTCTTATTTTAATGCAAGGAGCTCCATGCTGGCCCTTTTGGCACTCCTCTTTTAGTTTAATGAATTATCCTTACAATCTGGGCAATTCTGCGCGAAATGGCCTACATTACCGCAAGTGTAACATTTTCTTTAAACATCCAGCAAATCGTTTTTTAATATTTAAAAATGCTTTCGAACGCTTTAAGCGATCATCGTCAGTTAACATTTGTGAATCGAACGAAGAAATTCGAAAATTACGTAAAACGAAATTCAAAAAGCGGTTACATAAATATATGTAAATACGTTAACATTTACCAAGTTTAAATAATCTTAAGAATTATAAAAGTTAAAACTAAATAAAGAAATAAAATAAATTATATGCATCCAATAAGGTGTTGATTTTTATTTATTGTGTGGTTCCAGTAAGGAAAGTATTTTATTTGTAACATTTTCTACCTGTAACTCCTCTCCCTTGATCCATTTTATTCAAAAGCATACTAACTGCCTCCACTAATGTATCAATTTTCTTCTCTAACCCTGACATTCTTTCATCTATCTTATCCTTTTGAGTTTCTATACCTTCACATTTTCCTACCATCTCGTCAACTTCCTCCTTGATCTCCATATTCACTCCTTTATGTTCAAACCACCTATCACTATTGTTCTCTATATTCTCCTCACGTTCGGCGATGTCAAAGGATTCTTCCAACGTTTTTGGAGCTCTCCTTAACACATTACCTCTTAGGTTCCCCCTTAGGCCTTTTATAAAACGTTCCATAATTATGTCATCACGGAACAGACTCAACTTATCATTACCTCTAACTGCCCTGGCTAATAACGTATTCATTCGAACTGAAAAATCAGTCACGGATTCACCATTTCTCTGTCTTATGTTTAAAAGTTGGTCAACTATATCTTTACCGCTTTCCTCTCTTTTGATAAAACATTTAATTAAATCTCACTTTATTTCCTCGTAAGACCCAGGATATTGTTCTAGGAGGCACATAAACATTGTTAGGGGTTCTCCCTTCAATCTCTCTCGCAACACAGCAACTTTAACTTCATTACCCACCCAGCTAAATGGGCTATATTTTCGACTGTGTTGAAAAATTGTTTTATATTTATAGTATCATTCTGTGTTCCCGAGAACATGGGAATCATCCCTAAGAACCCCGTAATAATTAATGGTTGGTTTTGACCATTATTTTCAGTTACAACAGAACTTCCGACTTGGTTATGCATACTTGGCACAAATATGATATTAATACAATCAGTAACATAACTAAATTGACTATAAATTACTACATGTATCACTTATGAACTTAGACTAAGGACCGTGCACCCCTATTATTGTTGGGATCCTGTCGCGGACGCCATTGTGGTGAACATGCGGATGAACAATACAATGAAAGTTGTCTACAATAAAAGTTTTTATTGTCGGTTTATGCAGTTATACATATACAAGATTCTTTAGGATCCCAACGCATATATTTCTATATGGTTATGTTATAATATATATTTCTATTGGTACAAGAGAGTGACACGGTTTTTTGCGACAACGTAAAATTTTACTTAACCTATCTTAATCTAACTTATATACTAATGAAGAAATATAGAATGAAAGGGTTAATATTAAGATTAAGAGTAATAAGAACATGACAAGAATGCTGATGGGGTACCCGAGTTTTCTTTCTTCCTTCCTTTAGACTTCGCTTGTATCAAGGTAACGACTTTCATTGATTTTCCTTCCTTTCGTTTGTTCCGTTATTTCTCTCTTTAGACATTCTCAGATCTCTCAGCCCTATTTGGTTTCGACGACCAGGACCTCCTCCTATCTCTGTCTGTTTCGTCTGAATGCTAGCTCCAGAATGAATGTCTTTTCATTGTATTTCTCAGAAACGTTTTACCACCAGCAGGGAGGAAGGACCGTTAGAAAGTTTGAGAAAATTTATAGACAAAAGAATGAGGAAACTTAATATTAAGTTTAATACTAAAGACAAAATATATAAACATTTGGTGTATTACCACAAAAGAATGTAATTTGTTATAGTGAGAGTTCAAATAGAGGGAATTTGGATATTAGGAGGGAGCTGTATTTCAATAATAACAAATGGTAAAATTAAAGTTTTTTTGAAACAAATAATTAATTTTAGTTGAAAATTATATTATTAAACTAGAAATTCCCATCAAGCACGACAGAATATTTTTATGAGAAAGTTAAGATTGCAGAATTGAGAAGAGTAGAGATTCCAAGAAATTCAAGATTTGCTAATATTTCTTTTGCTCAGGTTGGAGCTCGACTTTGTGATGCTGTTTCTTCAGCTCTTGACAAAGCCATTCTTACTCGATGTTGCTCAAGTTAGACTTCATGGTCTTCAGGATCGGTATTCTTATTCTTTAAGAATTTACCCAACCAATTTTACTCTTATGCTTTCCCCTAAGCATTTTTTTTTTTTTGAAAAAATAGCATCTTTTAATTCCACATTGATAAAACAAAGAAGAATTGTATGTACAGTACAGTACAGTACATACAAGTTAGTTAGATGAGCATTAATACTTTCTAAATAATGGGCTTGTTAGATCATTACTTCTGATTGGATAACATTACGTGGTCACTATGGAAAGATTTTTTTTTTAAATTTGTTATAGAAGTGACATGATGCAGCTAACTTCTTTTAAAGTTTAAATTTAATGAAGTGAGTTTAAAATATGTCATTTTCCAAAATATTTAAAAATGCTTCTTAAGGGAAATCCCTCGTCAAGCAGGAACTAAATGAGGTTACTGACGTAACTGCAACGTAAGTGTGATCATTGATCCAAAAGTGATAAATTGTTTATTCTATACATAATATTTCCACAAAATAAGTAACCTAAAATTTTTTCATAACATAAAATGAATATAATTAAAATTTCATCTGGATTGGACAAAGATTGCAGGGGTTATAAGAAATTTAGGTGCGCACACACACACACACACATGCACACACACACACATAGACAACAGCTTTTATATTATTAATGTAAGAATAAAGAGAAAAATATAATGTTTTAGTCTCTTTCAGTTTCAAAAATTAACAAATAATTTAAAATTCTCTCACATTTAGAAATTTAATTTGTTTCTTTGAAAGATTTTTAACAACAATGATTTCTTTATAATTTATGAATTTTGAAGACTTTTGCTAAATAAAAACTTTTTAAATATAAAACTAATGAATTAGTTATGAGAAAAAAGTTAAAGATATGATTAAAATTAATTACTTTGTATAAGGATGCTAAATGATTTGAAGTTGCTATTAGAAATGGCTGATTGACTCCTGGATGATCAACATCATGAGTAACTGATGCAATCAGTGAAGCCATGGCTTCCAGAGGAGTCAGATGCTCAAGAATCTATGGAAGAAAGTTATAGTAAATTCAAGTGATTGATCAATTTTATAGTATTCCAACATAAACAACATACCTTTTGCTCTTGTAAAAAGCAGTGCATAGCTTGAGTAACATCAGCTGCATGCACAGAGTTATGATAAGGATTGTTGCTATGATAATTTTCTTCTATTAAAGCTACAAATAGAAATGTAACATTTTGAATTTACTATTTGAAAAATTATTCATATATTAAGTTTTTAATGATAATATTCAATGTAATATTATTTTTAAGTTAAAAGAATATTTGATACTTTTATTTGTCAAAACAATTATGATATAGAAATCAAAACCATTTCTCTATGTATGCTTAAATATAATGCAGAAGTAAGTTATGTTACAAGTACAGATATCAGTAGAGTATCCTGTTACACTGAAATATTTCACTCTTTGTTTCCTTTCTTTTAAATTTAAAATTACATAAAATTACAAAATCACTTAGTCAACACCAGAGTGTAGTAAATTAACAATATCTTCAAACCTGTTACCGGTGTGTTCTCCCACGACGACTCACGATGAAAAAATATACAGTTCGTTATTGACGTTTTTGAACCGAACAGGTTTTTCTTCAGGTAACATTGAATTCCTGATGGAATGCAGATCAAAGAAAATAAATTTGAAACTCAAACATGCACTTCTCGATTAAGTCTTCTTGGGGGCATGTGCTCTCCAGTGCTTGATGGTAATCATAGATTTTTGTCCATAAGCACCTGCCACGATACTGATAAATTTACCTCTTCCTTGTGATTGATGCAGTTATTACTGCTAAGGCTAGCTATGTATATGCATGCAGCCTCAAACCACCTCAACCATCAAGCACTGAAGAGCGCATGCCCAAGAAGACTTAATTGAGAAGCACATGTTCAAGTTTCAAATTTATTTTCTTTGATCTGCATTCCATCAGGAATTCAATGTTACCTGAAGAAGAACCTGCTCGGTTTGAAAACGTTACTAACAAACTGTATACTTTTTCGTCATGAGTTGTCATGGGAGAACACACCGGTAAGGTAACACATTTGAAAATATTGTTAATTTACATAAAATTAATAATGAATTTTATATTTGACACACAGCTAGATGTGTTTTTACAGAAATTACAAACAACTAGGCATGTTTTTATATTAATGGTAATTAAATGAGATATAATCAAAATTATGGAGTAAGAATAAAACAAAAAAAGAAAAAGATTGCAGTTAATAAAAAAATAGCAAACTGTATATAGAAAAAATAAAGACAATATCAAATTTATTTACTATAAAAAGAATAAGAAAGATGATCATTTTTCAAAAGTGTCAATTATTAATAATAAAATTAAAATAAGTTTAAAACTTAACTTAAAAATAAATAAACTATAAATATATAAAATAAAATAATACAAAAAAGTAAAATAAATATAAAACTTAAAAAAAACTGTAAGATTAACTATTTTTTAATCCTCATTTTAATATCAAAATTTTCATAGTTTTATGTTGATATTTAACATTTTGAAGCAATTTGTTTTCCTTTACAGGTGTCACTTAATAGCTAACCAATTCATTATTTATTGACTTTTATGAAAAATATAATAATATTTTATCATAATTCCAAATAAAAACTTTTCAACTCAAGACAACTCTTAGTTATTTCATTTTTTGATATCAAAGTGATTGTTTTTTAGTGCTTAAAATATCAATAATTAGTTTAGAGAAAATTTGAGATAAATATTATGTGTAAATTTTTCCACAGTCAAAAGTAAGTCTTGTTGCTGCTTATATCAGTCTGTGTTTTGATTTACTGTATGTTTAAATTTTATTCATCAGTATCTACTCTAAATATTACAAACTTTGTAAGAAATGGCAAATGACAACATTAAAAACTGATTAAAAAGAGCATTTCAGATTTTTAAAAACTGGATTAAAATATGTTTTATCAGAATATATTTTAACCTGGCGTGAATGAGGTGAGAAATTGTTACACCAGCTATGAGGTGGGTAGGAGATACCCGAAACTTTGATGCCGAATTTTTTATACTATAATTGTGTATAAAGTATTTTTTCACTTGGGATAATAAGAATAGTATCTATTCAACAAGATGAGTAAATAAAATATTATGTTTAAGATTGAAAAGCATTTTTTTTTAATTGAAAAAACAAAGTGTCTATATTTTCTTTGAAAAAGTACAGGTTTTGGTAGTTTAACATTTTTTCGTATATAATTCTAACAAAATTACAACTTCTTTGATTAATCAATATAACTATAGTATCTTTCAATTATAAAAATAGAAAAAAAAACTAAAAGGTCTTATGAGATCAATTTGCACAGCACCAACATTACACCTACAAATCAGCACAATCTCCACACATAAAAATCGCATGCTTCATACATTTTGGCTTCTCACACTTCAAACAGCAATGTTTTGTTTTCCTATCTGTTTTTTAGTACGCTCACCACTCCTGACATATTTATTAGCCATTTTTTTGGAAACAGGTAATGAAGGTTCTCCCAGTTGATCAGTAATTACTTTTCGAGTTTCCCTTGGAAGATGTGTTTTTTTGTCTAATGCGAAGACTATCATTTGAGAAATATAGAAATAAATCTAAAAATACTATAAATAACTATAACTCATAAACTTACTGTCGACTCAAAAATGTAACACCGACTATGAGGTCGGGTGTGATATACCCCGCCCGACATATAGGGGAAATACGGACAAAATGACATATACGTACAAAATGACATAGTCATCATAATTCGAATTTGGCGGTCTCAAACTCGCAACTGACCATGACACCATGTTATACGAGCAGCTCTTACTAACCTGTCAAAATGTGAACGCACTCCTTTCATTCGCCCGGGTGTCATGGCTGACAACAAGAAATGATACGTTATGAGTTTTTTTCCTCGCAACAAGTTTTTTGTATAGATGGTAATTTTTTCACTATTTTATCTATTTATGTAACATTTATTTCAACCCTCAAAAATTTGTTGTTCCACTTAAATAACTTTTTCCATTAAAAATAACATCTTTGTATTTATTTTATAATTTTGTTTTTTTATAACATTATATGGACAAAACGACATACATAGGCAACGGACATAATGACATACCTGTCATTTAGTCCATAAGAGCTTAGTCAAGGAACTTACTTAATCTCTTAACGTTTTATTAATTATCAAAAATGTCTTCCAAACAAAGTCTTTCATTATTGTTTAAAAGAAATTTTAGTATAAAACTTTATTTCCTTTCTTACATATTATTTACAAACTTATTATCTTTCACATAACAAAAAACTTGCAACGAATCACGTGACTCGACAAACC